TTGTAATGTTGCAGAATTTATACAAGTTTTTTTTTTAATATATAAATCTTATCAGTTAATAGTGTGTGCATTAGGTATTATGTATGTCCCCAATTATTAAATTAGTTTATATACCAATCAACCGATCCAATGGTCAGTACCCGGTTTGTTGTGACAGTTGACCGCACACAGTGCATCCCTACACTTTTGTATTCTCCCTATGAACCAGTTCAAAGTTGGCACCCCCACCACCCGGCGACATCATGATCACCGGCCACTATTCAAATGCCGCGACAATGATTTTTTTTTCCACCTATATTGCCGAGGCGACAAGTTGTCCGTTTGTATTTTTTGTGAAAACCACGTTTTTTATTTTTTTTTGTCCTCCGTTTTTTTTTTACAAAATAAAACGTTGAGTCGACCGGCCGTCAACCAGGCTGTTCATTGTATTTTTTTTTGTCCTCCGTTTTTTTTTTTATCAAAATAAAACGTCGAGTGGATTTGCTGTCCACCAAGTGGTGTCGTTGTGTTTTTGTCCTCCGTTTTTTTTTTTAAATAAAACGTCGAGTTGATCTGCCGTCGACTTGTGGTGTCAATCAGACTGTATTTTTTTTGTCCTCCGTTTTTTTTATTTAAACAAAACGTCGAGATGGTGATGATGATGATGATTATGGCGTAAGGCACAACTATGGCCGGTGGTGGGCCGTCACTCCTCAAATCAACAATCAACAACAAGTATAACGTGAAACCCCCCTGTTCTACCCATTATTAATCTTGTTAATATAGCACCTCCTTTTTGCTTCTTTTTTTTTTACTATTCTTCCCTTTATGAAAATATATATATATTTAAAATAATAATTATAAAAAAATGTCATTATATTATTCATGGCCTCTTTTATTTTTCTCCCTATACTTTTCCTTCATTTTTATTAATATTTGTTTTTTTTTTATCAAAACCTAGTAGCTCCGTCAGCAAGTACTATCTTGTTTGGCGCGGCTACTAGGTCACTGTCCAGTGTTCCCCCTGGGCAGTGGGTAATTAGTAGGCCCTCTGTTTGGCTGAAACCTTACAAAATGATTGTTTTTTTTTACAAATTAGGTAAAATAAACATTCTTACGTAGTTTTTATCTAAATATGTGCATGTCGCATATCAAAATAGCGGATTCGACGTTTAAAATTCGTACTTTTCACCGTTACCGTGTAGCGTACCTGGAAAATGCATTTTTTTTTTCATCAAAAAAAAAAACTTACATCTCATATATACTGTATGACCACCCACCGCATCATAATCCAAAGTTTAGATTACAAACAAATAACTAAATAATAAATATATTCAGTTTTTTTAACAAATTACCCAAAATCAACATTTTACGTACAATTTTTATCTAAAATGAAAATAATTGGCGATACTGTACGGTTAATTTTGATTTATCATATTCGATACATCGTGCACCTTAGGAATAAGCTAATCACCACCTCGACATGCGTACATCGTATTTTTACCGCGCTAAAGATACAAACGTTGCGATTCACACCTCCGACCGACACCGTCATCAGGGCGGTTACACGACTACGGCTTATACCCCGTCGATGACGTCGACGACGACGACGACGACGGCGGCGGCGGCGGCGGCGGTTGCGATGACACAATATAACGCGCGACCGTTTGACGTACAACTCCTAGGTGGGAGGGTGTAGGCAGGGGCAGAGTCTTTAACATTATTGTATGTGACGTGATGACCTTAAGGGCGATTATATTACGTAACACCTGTGATGCTCCTGATTGAGGGGCACGCGTTGCTGCATACGTCACACCGACAACGACGTAACGCCGAGTCAGCTGACCACCTACCCTCCGCCAACCCACATTATTATCGCAATTTTAACAATAACACACTTGATTTACAACTTTAACAATGACGATTGCCCTTAATTAACCATTTAATTACCCATTAACACTCTTAATTTATTACTTTTTGATGACGTATGACACTAATTACCATGGCGGCATCCTTTGATCCCCAGAACCCGCTATTTAGATACTACTAATATTAATCACTGTCAGACATCATCTATACTTCTAAGTTGCAACTTTGGCGCGTTCTCACTGTGCAAAGTTTTTTTCTTTTTTGGTTATTTACTTTTTTATTATACTATCTGTTGACTAACTTTCAACACGCGCGAATATAGAATCATCTGGTTCTTAAATAATTTTTGAATAAGAAATTTCTATGTAGAAAACAATTAAACTTTATTTTATGCTTAAATAGAAAGTTTGATAGAAATTTATAAGCTTTATTATTTTTCAAAATTAAATGTTTTAATTTAAGTCGGAAGGAAAATCAAAATTAAGTACATTGTTACAGGCATTTAAAATTCAAAAGACTATATTTAAGTTCAATCTCCAAGAATCTCAAATTTTATTTTGCTTAGAATTTTTAAATAGGATAATTTACTATTAATTAATTTATGGATAAAAGTACGTCGTTATTTAACCATCTAGAGGCCAATGATTCTAAATCTAAAACAATTAGAAAGATATCCTGCTGCCATAATTTGTGTGTCAATATTCTAAATAGCGTCGTTTGATATTTTCAAGTTTTCAATAAAATTATTATGATAAGTATTTTAAACCACTGACCACAAAAAAAAAAAAGTAATACAATATTTTATTATAATTAATGCTTTTAAGTTCGAATCAGTGTCAAATGGTAACTTGTAATTCTTGTTAAATTTTTATTGTGATGCATAGTTTAATATTCTGTATTAACATGCTTTTTTTTTGGAATTATCTTAGGTGATGAAATGATTAATCTCTCAGAACTTCTTATGTTCATATTTAATAAGATGAAAACTTTTGAAGAGGATTTTAACACACTATTAAGTAAAGGTGATGAAAAAAATAATGGATTTGTGTCCAGTGAGTATGCAAAAGAAGTCTTATTGAAATCCCAATTGTTAGGTGATCAAATAACAGGCAAAGTCCTTGACAATTTACTCAAAAAATATACAAATGAGAATAATCAATTCAATTACTTAGGTAATATATAATGAAAATTGATTACTTTTTGCTATTCTAGTTTAAAATTAAAAATATGTTTGAAATATATATTTAAAACTAATAAATATTAAAAATTTTTAACAAAAAAAAAAAAGTACTAAATAATCGCATGTACGTTTGCTGAACCGAATAAAATTTCATTATAATTCTTGTGACATAATTACCTAAAGAAGTTTTGTAATGTTATTATCTAGGCAATAGTAACACTTTGGCAGTTAACATAAGTTTTATAAAATTTGCAGTGGCACAAGATCTCAAGTTTAATTAAACTGCACTTATTTTCAAACATTATTATTGCCTCCTTCATATTAAGTTATTTGTAATTATTTATATTTTTAATAAGTTAATGGAGTGTCAATAAATGATCAGCTACAGGAGAATTATTAATTTCTCTATTTTTATGTTCCAACCTCATCCTATTTTTTTTTTTTTTATCACTTTTTAGTTCATTGTATAATAATTTCGGTTTCCAATACTTAGTTGAATTATAAAAGAAATTTTGCTGCTGATTAAAAATCTGGCTTTATATTTGTTTCATCACATATAGTTTCTAAGGTGGCTGGTAGTGAATAATGGGTGCTTCTTTTTTCATATCTAGTAATTTCTTGACCGTACTTTTCTTCAGGCTAATATATAATATGTTAAAAATTATTACTGGTTCAAAAGTATCATTATCATAGTTAAATCATTATTTAATGAATAAAAGCGTATGTTGCTATTTAATGATTTATAATTAGAAACTTTAAGCCTCGTCAAACGTAAATATTATTATTTACTCTAATATATTTATTTTTGGACGTAAAATTATTATAAATACACGAGTATTTATAATAATTTTAAAACTTCATTTCATTTCAGAGATGAAAAAAAACGTATTTGATGATGCTGAAGAATATCAATCTGATCTCTATTCTTATAATTACGAGAAAAAAAAATGGGTGCTTAAATACAAATATACTCCTACTCATTGTTTATAAAAATACAGTAAAACTTCATTGATATTATTTATTCCATAATATATTTTTTTATAAATGTTTAAATTGATTTACATAAATTTATATTTGATTTGTAATATTCATAGAAAATATGTATCTTATTAATTGTGGTATTTTATCACAATTCTAAGTATAAGTGTCGATAGAAATACATAATCAAACATATTATGATTCTAAAAGAGAACTATAAAATATATTTTTAGATAACAAGCGAAATAAAGTTGACAATTCTTTACTATTTAATGCTTAATTAACTTTACTTAAAACTCCATTTTCATACTAGTATACCTACATTGATGATTATTTTTTTTAACTTAATCTTTGTATTTTATTCATGAAAGTTCAAAAATCAGAAAAATTAGTGTGAATGTAAATTATTTATTCAAATATAATGTCTATTAAATAAATCTTTGTCTTTTTATTTATTACAACTATTTCTTCAAGCTTTCATTCATTATAAATTGTATGATGATAATTTTAAAACTTTCCCTTGGCAAAATTTATCTTTACATCATAGTTAGTAATAACAGTAATAACTAATTTTTATATATAAATATGTTTTAGTTCTCAATGATTAAGTAGTTAAATATTTTAATGTCCCTTTCTTCCCCTTTATATGAGTACTAACTTTTTAAATAATATCATAGAGTAACCCAGAAGTAAAGTGCGTACTTTTTTCCTAGACCAATATTAATTTATTTTTGCTGTCAATAAAAAATTAAGTTAAATAATTTACTAATACGCTGCAAAATTAAAAAATTTGTTTTAAATTTTTCATTTCTACTCTTAGCTTTGATGCGAAACTGAGAAGGTATTAATTTTACCATGATGTGTTTTTTTTTTTTTGTCTCTGTTACTATTTTTTCTCAGCTCTCACTGGACCGATTTCTTTCAAAAATACGTCAAAAGATCACAAATCGTATCTAGTTGGAGAAATTTTACTTAAAAATTGAAAAAATATCCCTCGTTCCACGCAAATGTGGGAAATATCCAAAAAAATTACAAATTTAAAAATCGGTAAATTTTGTCATTTTTTTCACTTTTTTTCTTAAAACTTCCATAACTTTTTGAAAAATAAACAAATTAACATAATTTTTTGTTTTCTAAAACCTTAGATATTTCCCTTTTGTTTGATATCATTTCTATGAAAATCTAACACTTAACTTTCTAATGGGGGGGATTTAAAATAGCAACTTTTTTACAAAAACTAACTTTTTCAACTTAATTTTTGAAAATAATCCTTAAAATAGAAATACTGCGTCCTTTAAACATATATCAAATTAAAGTTTATTTTATGTACTATAAAATAAAAAAAAAAAATTTGTCCCGACACTTTTTCTTCTACATTTAAACGGCTGCTGTAGTTAAAAAAACGCTGTTTTTGTATTAAAATTTTCGATTTTAAATTTTCAACTTAAAAATGCTATAACTTTTCGAAAAATGTATATATCAGCACAAATATTTTTTTTCTAAATACATTATAAGTATTTCTTTCTTTAGACATAATTTTTATTAAAATTGGACAATTTCCCATTATATAGGGGTCGTTCTAAACTTGAAATATTGTAAAAAACATCGATCTTTTTCAACTGAACTTTTGAAAATGTTCCGGAAATACTGCATCCTTTAAATATATATTAAATCAAAGGTTATGTTATGTGGCGGTCGAATATTCTAGAATGTCCGGCCGCCGCCGCCTCTAGAAGATTCGTCGCTCTACATAAGCGTGTGGCGGTCGAATGTCTAGAGAGTTCCGACGCCGCCTCTAGAAGATTCCTCTGACTATTTAAGGGCAAGATCGTCGCTCCAGTCAGTCAGTCGATCAGTCAATCACTTACGCATTCTGTCTTACACGCGCTTCGTCTCTCGCTGTTATTTATTAGTTCGTTGTAATACAGTTCGTCTCTCGCTGTTATTTGTTAGTTCGTTGTAATATAGTATAGTTGTTATTAAATCTTAAAAGTGTTTATTACTTCTATATATTACACCTCGCTACATTTATATATTATCAAATGAAAAAAAAAATTTTGTCCCGACATCTTATCTTCTATGTGCAAATAGATGTCGTAAATTAAAAAAAAATGTAATGTTTGCAATAAAAATCACCTTTTGTCGGGATGTTTTTTGTACTTAAAACTGCCATAACCTTTTCAAAAATGAACAAATAAAAATAATATTTTAGCTTCGATGCGAAGCTGAGAAGGTATTGGTTTTACTATGATGTGTTTTTTTTTTTTTTTTTGTGTCTGTTACCACTTTTTCTCAGCTCTCACCGAACGGATTTCTTTCAACGATACGTCAAAAGATCACAAATCGTATCTAGTCGAAGACATTACCCTTCAAAATTGAAAAAATTTCCCTCGTTCCCCGTAAATGGGGGAAACCTCCAAAAAAATTACAAATTTAAAAATCGCTAATTTTCAACATTTTTTAAATTTTTTTACTAAAAACTGCCGTAACTTTTTCAAAAATGAACATATCAATATAATTTATATTAATAATATTAATTTTTTTATATAGATGCTTGATGTCTTTACCTATCATTTGGTATATTTTTTTTATAAATCTGACACTTAACCTACCCACAGGGGGGGATTTAAAATGACAACTTTTTCACAAAAAATTAACTTTTTTAACTTAACTTTTGAAAATTCTCGATTTTATAATTTACATTTTTTACTTTAAAGTGCTATAACTTTTTAAAAAATGTATGGATCAATACAATTTTTTCATGAGAAGTAGTATTTATATACATCTTTCATTGGATATACTT